GGATTCCTCAACCTTCTGTTTGAAAGTCTAGGATGGTGTCCACTTGGTTGTTCCAACTGGACCTATTCGACATACTATAGTATGTCGCCAAGGCGTCTTCTGGACTGCACGGGTGCCCTGGTAGAGAAAGGTATCTACCTCTCTATCCACATCGATCGGCTCGCATTGTATCATTGAGATCAACTGTGGTAGCCATTTATCTTATCAGTCTTCATTGCTACTAACCGAGTGTAGTACTTAGAATCTCTCAAATCGATTCCAAAACGTCTTACCACTGTATTCATTACACATCCGGCTTGGTCTTCATTTCATCCGGAAATTACGTTCCATACGTGTTTCAAAACACCCATGCTCAGTTGGCCTGCTGTCAAATAGGCTCTCGTTGCCCCTTCTCTTGGATATCAATCTGAGCCTAGTATGGATAGCCCAGATCAAAGTTTTGTCGCCAAGCCGGTCATAGTGGTGTTTTGGGTAAATGCAGAAATTGTGAATCCAGCCTGGTGTCCAAATCGTCGTCCTGACGGTGAAGTGTATTGTCAACATCATCTAGACCTATATTCACGAAACGCAGCTGTTCCTCCGTTACGTTGATTGGGGCTGATTCAACAATGTGTGTGCTGTTGGCACATCCTCCGAGTCATCCTCTTCCGATTCACCATGACCTTGATCCGCTGCAGCGGCTTATTTTTTCTTCCGCTGCGTAGTGGGTCTCAATTCATGTACTATTGGTTGGTAGTTCTTCAGGAAGGTTTTCTTATCCCTTGAGATCATACGCCAACTGGGATTGCGCCTACGTGCCGTACACGTGGCCACTGGTGGTGATGGCACATCTGATTCTAGTGCATGGCGTACTTCCTCTGGCGTTGAATTTTCCGATGATACCTTTTTTTCCGGCTGCTCCTTTTCGAGCCTTTGCCTTCTTCGCAGGTGGCTTCTGCGGCTCAGTTGTCACATTCCCGCCGGATGCACTTCCACCTGAGTCAGCCAACTTCTTTTGTTTCCGTTCAGATAAAGTTGGTGCCACTTGTGTCGGCGTAACCTCAGTTGCCTCAGAAGCTGGTGGTGGTGCCGGGGGCGTTTTCTGTTTTGTTTTGCCTACAACAGAATCTTTCGCGTTTGCAGCCCTAGCTGTGTTCGCTGTCTTATTCTTACTTTTCGTCATAATATCGATAGCGTATTATAAACTTAAAAAATATTTAAAAGTAAGTCTCCTCTAGGCTGACTATACGATACCAAGACATTTACGTTAATAAGACAATACGCTACAACGTTATAATGCAAAATGTTACACAAGTTTAGCTTCAGCCCTTAGTAATGAGCAAAATATTAGGATTTAGACTACTTCGGTCTAGATTTATTTATGTTTTAATTAAAAAGACTAGATATCATTACATTGGATGCATAGTTTAAACTTCACGCCTCGAAACAATCACCCAATTAAATCAACCAATAAAATACCTCTAAGTTCAACTTAAGAGAAAATGGAAAATAAAAACAAAACAGCAAGTTGGTGCAGTATACATCTGCACCTAGCCCCCATCACTTGGTACCTAGCTCCCCAAATCACTTAAGGCATAGACGTGCACATATAGTTAGCTGGCTAGGAATGTTGTCCTAAAATCTAACAACTCTGATCCCGTCCTATTCTCAGTGGATTATCTTGCTCTGAGATCATTTTCGAATTATACCATAGGTTTGTACCAACAAAAAATTCATGCCTGAGACCCTCTCTCATGGTACTCCCAATAATTAGAGATTCCCAAAGTGCCATTTTCAGGTGTGAGATTGGTGTCATTCCTATATTATGTACAATTCTATTTTCCGTGGAAACACCAATCTATATTTGGAAAGCCACCTAATTGTCCACAGTAGAGTACCATACTCTACTGTCACAAGTTCAGAATCTTGAATTACGCAGTTCTTGTTCATGTCCAATTCGTTAAATGTATTCCAGGATTTTAGGTATAGATGTTAATACGCTAATACGTTTATAATATACGTTAACTGTGTAACTACTATTAGGAACCCGCTATTTTTACATGTCATATTTGCTGAGACTGACAGCCCGGTGTACCGAACTGTTGTTGTATCCTTGATATTTGCATATGATGTCATATTTTTGCACAACAGAAGCGGGTATTTTAATATAACCTTATGGTAGAGAAAGTCACGTTCCATATTAGAATCGTGATTAATAAATATGCCAGTTGCGTCATATTCTGATTGCTTTAGCAGACATTTTCTTCGTCACATATTAAAGAGATATTTCTTAGTAACTATTTGTTTATTTGCAATGGTAAAACT